CTCTCTCTCTCTCTCTCTCTCTCTCTCTCTCTCTCTCTCTCGTATAATTTTCTTCTATATAAGAATTATATGCCGGAATACATTCTTTTTTTTTCAATCTTATTCAACACTTAAAATTTTTTTTGTACAAATTTGAAGCTTTAATATCATTATAATTTTTCTGGTAACTTCTTAAGTTGATTCAATTATTTCTAACATATGTCGTACTTTTGATAATGTAGTATTGAAATAAAAGTAGAGTTGAAAGTAGTGGGAAAATTTTAATTAAAAAATGATCGTTAGAAATTGGAAAATAAGTTGACATACACAAATCATTGTACATACAGATATATATCTATTATACACATACATAAGTATACGATTAATTGTAGACATATCTCGTGATATATATTTAGAAAAATTAATAAAATATATTCGATTATATTTTATCATTGAAATGTTTTTATAGAAAAACGAAATTCTTTATAAAAAGCTAATAAATAACAGAATTAATAAAAAAAATAGATTAATGATAGACAGATTTTATTACTTTTTCATTAATTATTGCTTATGCAAATTTTTAATTTCTAAAGTATCTGACATGTGAGGATATAAAATAAATTGTATTTCAATTACATTGTTTAATGAAACAAATGAACAAATTCTTCAAAAAGTATAATTACATTTAATAAAAAAATTAACAAAATTTAAAAGCATCATAATTTTTAAAATATTATATTATACTATTTTATTATTCTATGAAAAAAATTCTTTAATATAAGAATAATTTTCTAAAATTTTCATGTTAATGTCAAATCAAAATTACAATTGATTGATTACATAAGATACACTATATTTGTATTTACTTTATAATTATATTCTTTTTTATTTTGAATATTATATCACAAAACATGTATAAAATATTTTCAAACTGTTTTATACATTTTAATGTTAAATCAGTACATATCCGCGAGCAAAGTCATTGAAAATATGAAATCTGTTTATTGATAGTAGTCAAAGTGAAAAGATAATTGTATAAAAAATTTAAAAACATTGTACACTTGTTATATAATAATATTAAATATAATATAATTTCAAAAATGTTGTAAAATTTTTGCATAATCTAAATGAAATTACGCTGATCATGACAGCGAGCCATATTGAAGAATTTTACTCTCAAATCAAAATACAAAAATTGTTGATTTCATGAAGAAACAAAGCTTGACAACAAAATTTTTAAAAAATTCTCAAGTGAGATATTAAAATTAGCTGTAAATAAGTATTTAAAGAAATAGATTGTCTTTCAACAGATTTGCTTTTTAACAAAATCTCAAATATATATTAATATCAAAAATATAGTGAAAACAAAAAAGTAAAAGGATAATTTAAAAAAAAATCATGATAAATTTTTTATTTTCTTAATCATATCAGAATTCCAATTTAGTTCACATAAAATATATATGAAGGAAATTACGTCACGAACTCAATGATATACAAAAATGTAGAAAATGATAAAAGTTATACAAAAACAAAATGCAATAAACTCTAGAATACTAGCAAAATTAATAATTAGTATATCTAAATGCCTTTTAGATATTATAAAAATTAAAGAATTCAAATTTATATTTATATATTTATTGTATAAAATAAAATAATAATTTGTAATGTCAACTTATATAATTTCCATTCCTTGATTTCTTGTTTTAAACGGTACAAAAATGTATATTTATGTTATTGAAAAACATTAATAAATATACTTTTTTCGTACAAAAATTTCGTATGAATATTACTATTATTTTATTTTATTTTTTTTTAATATAGCGTACCAAATAAATATTGACGCAAGAGTTATATAACCGTCTAATCGATTTAGAATTATTTTCATATCTCTGGAAGCATATGTAACGCAGGACACATAATACACAATATATATAAAATGTTATATATATGTATATATATTAATATACATATGCGTTTACATGGGCATGTGTGTGTATGCGTGTTTTCACATGAAATTGTATTGTGTGTGATAGAAATGTTAGATCTTGCACATATGTTCAATTCGAAAGGTACAAATTTAAAATTTAAGCTCACTTTTCACTCTATGCATGATCACGGGGGTTACGTAAACGTGAAGTAATAGGATAGCAAGAGTGATAAAAACAATAGGAAAGCGAAGTAAGATGTAATAACAATGAGCACTGATGGCGGCATTAGTCATTAGTATTAGATAGAATGGCCATAATATTGTCACGGTTTTTCGCGACGTCGGCCATAAGCGAACTGACGTTTAATGGGATTTTCGTCTATGTTAGTATTATAAAAAATTAGGAAATTTTGATCACGTATACACAGCAATACTTTCGAATATACAATATTTCTAAGTCTTATTGCAAATAAACAATGCAGACGAATAAATATAAATAAATCTAACAAGGGCGCTTCGTGCAGCTGTACATGTTACATTTGCAAAAGTTCAGTTTTAAATAAAAAAATGTACATATAATATCAATTGTAAATATAATATTGTAATTTTCTGTATTTCATATTTTATTTTATATATTATACATATGTATATTTTATTTTATTCTACATTTTATTATATTCTCAATATGAAAGCTCTTCATTATCTAAAATACTGGAAAACTCCGTAAATAGATTTTTCACGCTCTTAACTCTAAAAAAATCTATTCTACAAGGATAGCACGTAAAATTCCAATATGTAACTATATTTACATAACCGCGCGAAAACAAAAATCGGAATTTTATCTCTGTGCCTATAGTACAAACACTCGCGACTCAGTCGACTCACTAACGAAAAGCATGATAAAATCTATGTTATAATTTCGCACTCAACACTATAAATGTAATATAATACATGGTGTTATATAACAGTTATATTGTTGAATGCGAAATTACAACATAATGTCACGTTACTTTTAGATGGGGAGAGCATATAACTGGCACAAACGAGCGATGCAACGATCTGACAATGAAATACGCACGTGTTGAATGGCCGCGTGAATGGCGTGTGTTTCGCAGCATCCCCTAATTACCTTCTCATTCTCGCATACCGAAATCTCGCGAGCCTCCTTGTTTCTCGCACGAGTCTGAACGCGCGCGAGCACGCGTGCTCTACTCGCACGAGCGAGCGTAGAGAGGAAAGGAAAAAAAATTGCGATGGCCGACGTCTCAATTCCGTAGCAGGCGAGCTGCCGATCGATGCTTGCTTGTGCAACAACCAATCGCCTTTAACGAGATTCCGCCGTTTTAATTAACGAGCGCGCGAGCCAGCATCGTTCGCTCGCTCATTCGCGGTAATCACGCGGGACGAAGATGAACGACGGAGGACGCGAGCGTCGTCCGATGAACACATCACGACGTGTACACACGTGTACACATCAATGCACAGGTACAAGACGTCGGTAGCCGTTTTATCTTACAAACGCCAGCACCGATGTTGTTTCCGGTACTGACGACGGCGTCCTCCGTGAATCTCTCTCGTCCACTCGTGGTACATACATTTGATAGCGAGAAAGTTTCCACCAGACGAAATTTAAAAAAAAATTAATAGTGTAGTTTTCCTTTTTCATTTATTTACCTTCTTTTTTTTTAAGATAACGGAATAGCCACTTGACTTTGACATACTACAGGCACATACATACAAGATATAAATTCAAGAGACTTGTACAATTTCAAATCTTATGAAAATCAATTGAACATTTAAAAGATGGAAATCTTGTTGGTATCATGATATCGTTAAAAATATATTCTGAATGCTTTTCTTTTAATTTGTTTTCCTCAGACATGTGGTTTATTGTCTTTGTAATTTTTGTAGTGTATTTACGTTTTGTAAAACGTGTCATGCATGTATAAAAATTGTATAGTTTTAGCTTAAAATCTTGACTTCAAGTTTAAGTTTGAACGGCACGCGCTATCCCTTTATTTACGATAGCGATACTCATACTTAAGAATGCCTCAAGGACCTATCTTTCGCAAATGAATTCGCGCGAAGAGTCATCACGAATTTCGTCGAGAATTTCGGGGAGACATTTTTTTTCTCTGCGTTTCGGTTCTGGATTCTCACAACTGTCACGAACGATTTTCGCCGTCGTTTTGTTCGGTAACGTAACCGCCGAACACAGCTTCGCTTTTAAGGCGGAGTTACGGTGCGATTTGTAGACCCGTTCACGACCAGTAGTGCCTTTCTGGAATTTAAGGCAGGTCTCACGAAGGACACACACAATCGTGATCCGGTAGACGAAGAATCGTTCGACTCGTGTAGCTCCGGCTACGTGTCAGGCGATTGATACTTTGAGATTTTCATCGAAGAAAAGTTAATGAAAGTTATACAATATGAGATTGTGCGTAGTTGTTGTAAGACTAAAAGTTGAAGTTTTATATCGAATTATAATGCCAAAAATTAAATGTATATTTAATTAGCTTTTATTCGGATAATAACATAAATAATACGTAATTATTAATAATATGTAATTATTAAGTTGTTCAAAAAGTTGATAATTAAAGATCGATAACATACGATAATCATCGCTCCCTTACTCCGAAAGTAACACAACTCAAAAGATTAAGGGCCATCATACACAAAATGACATAAGTTGCATAAGGCCGCTGGATCAATGAGCATTTTATATAAATCGATATGACGTTTTTATGTCGGATGCTCATTGGTTCAGCGGCTTTATGCTGTAGTTATGCAGTTTACATCATTTTATGATGATCCTAAAGCCTATTCAACAATGTGCTCCTTGTTTCCTATTTCTCGCTTTTTACTTTTTGCTTCTTTCTCCTTTGCAACCGTTTTATCAATTATATTTCTTGCTACATATTTCTTTCAAAGTTAGTTAACTTTTATCTCGAGCGACATAAAACAAGAAACCGGATAAGAAGCAAAAAGACAAGATATCAAAAAATAGTAAAAGGCAAGAAAATAGGAAATAAAAAGCACATTGTAGAATAGATTTTAATTTCTCAGAAAAGAAAAAAAATTTTTTCTACTTAACAGAAAATTATTGATCTAATCAAATAATAGGTATCGACAGAAAGAATATATTCATTAACATAATGATATATGTCATTTTCATTTCATACCCTTAAAAAAATCACTTTTTTAATTACGATTTTTTTTTAATCACTTTTTTAGTTGTTATGATTTTGATGATGATTTACAAAGTCAAGCAAGTTCATTTTTTATAATTGATAGGTAAATTTTACTTAATTTATTTATAATAATAATTCGAAAATTACATTTGTTGAGTTGTGTCACTTTTAAAGTAAGAAAACAATATGTTCTCTCAAGAAAAAGAAAAAACCATTTTAATTTTATTATAAAATGTACAATTGAAACACACAATATGTGATATAAAAATTTTTTAATATCAATTGATATTAAAAATTGAGCAAGAAATACAAATTAAACCATTATAAAAATAAAATTGCACGTTATTGTAAATAATATCAAGTGCTGAATGATATGTGTTCTTTTAAATAGATATTCTAGAATTTTATGTCTTGTGAATTGCATTCACATGGATTAGGAGATATTATACATATGAATTCATGTATATAAGATTCATATTTTTAAATATGTATTATCATTATTTTTCACATTTGTAATCGCCATTCCAAACTCACATTATATATTTCAATACTGTAATATTATGTTGTATAATTGTAAGATATATATAATTTTAACGAATTGCTTAGTTATCGTTCACTGTTAACATTGCGTCTCTCATTAGGCACTTCTTGTAGATCGAATATATATAGTCAATAAAGGCCAGTAATGTTATAAGAAATCGTTTTATTCCGAACATACTTATTGTATTTATTTCAATGTTTTAATCAAACGTATCTGTAATATGTAAAACATCTCGTATACATCGTTAGACAGCGAGGACAATCTGTAAATAAATGATCAGCATATTTTGTGGGAACGGGACCGGGGCCAGTAAGTACTTATTTGTATTATACTGATGTAGGTATTATATAATAAAAATATTATTTTTTTATCACTTTGTAAAATATAATATAATCCGTTTATATAAAACACGTATCCATTCCTTTAATTTAAGCAATAAACATTTTTTCTGTGAAATTTACGAATACTTAAGTAGTGATTTTTTCTCCTAGATAAACAATTATCGAGCGTAATAAAAGATAAAAAATGATTTGATATTATATTATTATAACATACACAGAAGTATTTTTCAAACACATGTTAGTGATACTGAATAAAAAAAATGATAAAAATTTTCTAATACTATCTAATTTCATAAAAGATATGTAGCATTACTTTGTTGAAATATCGTATTACAATTTTGTCATGAAATCAATATAAAGAATTGAATCTCACATTCTGATGATAGATATATGCGAATTCACGGCAAAAATCTACGAGAATATACGGTTGTCTAAGCTAAATTTACAAATATAACTGTTTAACGTGATAATGTCAGACGACAGATGGCCGTATTTAGTCATAACTACAATATGAATATTCAAATAGTACGTGTGCCAGAAATATTCAAACGGTTTCACGAATACGTTCTCATTGCTTATATTCACATATACGACGTGTTTTTTGCAATATTCTATTTAACGAATACAAATCCTCTCTTACGTATAGTTTCGCAAAAGTTATACTTTCTTCTATCAAATATTTCTCGTATAAGCACAGAATCATAGAACTGTTATATCTTCGATTTCTCGATAATCAAGTGCCGAAGTCGAATAAGTATCACGGAAGTACTGAGAATGTAGGTTATATATCTGGTATAAGTAAAACATAATTATGAAGATACAAAGATAAAAAGTAATCAGTCTTTGCTTATGCCGCTGTTTGTATATGTATGTGATTATATAAAAGTATGATTTGTGTGATAAATTATCGATATGATTATTTTTCGGCGCAAAATAATATGAAATCATTTCCACAAACGGAGAAATCACATAATGTAAATATTTATTACAAAAGCAATGTATATGCAAATGAGTTTATCACGGCAATTCATCTAATGATTGGATTTCGGAGCAGGATGACTTGGGGTGAAAACCTCGTAGTCGATTACCGAGAAGTGATAATCTCCCATAAGCAACTGATTAGATGCGTGGTCTCCGTCGTAACTATGCGGAAGATTGCTGTAGCTTTCCTTGTTGACATTGCAGTTACTTGCTATAAGTAAATCAGCCCCGGCACCAAAAATCGGCCCTATGCTGTAAAATAGATTAAATTAAATCAAATTAATCTTAAGAACTCGATAGCGATAATCTTCTGAAGAATCACGATGGTTCTTACTCCGGATGATAGCAGATAGCAAATGATTTCTTCACAATGTCGAACTTTGTCGGCGGTACATCTTGATTATTTGTCAACGTGAAAAGGAAACTCTTTTCCGAAGCGATGTACTGCGCTTTCGAGTTAGTTTTACCCCATGGAACATCGCTGAATCCTCCGCATATCTCACCACGTACTCCCTGAGACATAATAAAATGCACTTTGTAATTACTATAAAAAAATTTGGATAAAAATTTTATACTTACCAGCACTATCACATACGTCGGACAAACGTTATCACAGTGTCGATGAAAAGACGCTGCTGAGTAGCCATGAGTAGATGCTCTGAAAGCAATTATTAATGCATATTATTAATGAGAAATGCTGTACTATTATTTTTGTAGAATCATCTATCAATTGCTTATATAAATTGAAGGAACAAAATTTCTTCTCAATCTATTTTCCAAAATTGTCTTCTGTTCTCCAAAACTTCAACATCTTCCTTGACCCAATTGTCTGATTTTAATATCGTATGTAGTTTATTAAAGAGTGAGAAACAAATTTCTTCCTCCAGTATTTAATTAGAAGATGCTCTGTATTATTACTGTCTGCATATAATGGAATATATTTTATTTTACAAGTTTCACATACTTTGTCACAAGCATCAACATTTTCTGTATAATTTCTACAATTACGTAATCAATGTTCAAAATTGATGCAAGCTATATACAGAGCACTGAAAATTATCAACGCGTTGACTGAAATATTCAAGAGATAGAAATAAATTTATAATATTAATTACCGATGATGTTATTTGATGTTGTCACTTTTAAAACATTTTCTACTCAATATATTGTTAAAACCTACCGATAAACTAATCGCCAGCCCTGCTTCGACACGCCGTACCACTGATTCAAAACCCGCTGGAAACCGACCTTGTCTCTGGAGAGAATCTGCGAGCCCGGGAAGAGAAACGGGCTCACTCGTGGCTGCAGTCGTTTGTCAGAGCAAACCTCCGAGTACTTGTTCGGCAGAGCTGCATACCTATACCTAAAGCGAAACGTCGAGATCGAAGGCGATACCGCCAAACGGTGAGTGCCGCCCCGTTAGATCGTACCTTAGAAATTTCGAGCCGCTCGATCGATCGGGATTGAAAAATTCGTACCTCTCCAACGACATCTCTATTGGCACCGCACCGGTCGGCTCTACCTCCTCCGCGAACACCTGGCTGTCAATCAACAGCAACCGTACATGATTTATTACACCAGACAGGTGCTGGCACACTCTCATGCGCTCTTCTTCAGTCCAGTGCTGTGTGGGCTGCGTAACTCCTGCCTAAAAGTGTTTAATAAAATTAATAATTCGCAGTCGAGAAAGTTTGCCTAACTTCTAATAAATAAATTCGGAGCACTTCAAAAAAGATAAAATAGGAAGCTTTTAAAAAAGCAAACCTGATATTTGGCCCAGTTTAGAACCGCTCGCCATACATCTTCTTCTTCTAAACCGAGATAATCCGACGATATCAACTTTACTAAAGCGTCCTTTGGAAGATTGCAAAACGCCGTTGTCTTCACTGTGTCCATGGCATTCTCACCGATAAAAGCAAAACATTTCTCGATAAAAGATGAGCAAGCAGCTTTCCCGCCTGAAACACAAAAATAAGAATAGAAAAAAAAGTAACAAAGAATAATTTTACACAATTTAAAGCTTCTCCTAAATATATTACTTAAAATTAAATAAAAGTTGACTGATTAAATTTGATTGACCCGTCTCTTAAAAATAAAATCACTAAAATTAGTATTAAAATATAAAATAATAAAATTACTAAAAAAATATTAAACTTGATTTAATTTTATTACCTTTATTTATAGTTACAGTATTCATAATTACGGTAGTATAAATATCGAAATGAATTTATAATTTTTGGGATAAATTAAATGAAAAAGAATTTTAAAAATCGTAAATAAATCTCAATGATTAACTCAGGAATTTTTCATTACAAATTTTTTCAAGAATTTAATAATATCTTTACACATAATATAGTTGAAACGATTATTCCTAATAAGAGTAAATAAATGATATAAATATTATTCTCATTTTTTATGTACTGTCTTGTAAAACACATTTTATGGTAATTTTTAAATGATAGTTTTTATTAAATTACATTATTTGATAAGCATACGTTTAAATATTACTTTTATAGATATATATCATTACATTATCTCTCTGTACTTTTCTATATAAATCATTTTTTGTGAGATCGATATTTATAAATGTTAGGTAAAAATAAAGAAAATGTTTTAGAATACGAAACTATTTTAATAATTGTTAATATACATTTTAGTCATCTTTTGTTTATCTTTTCATATAATACACATTCAGAATGAGTCACAAAAACTCTACTTTACGATGAACAGATTGACATATCTATATTCTTAAACAGCACATAATATTACATATAATTAAAACTAGATATCTGTATGCATAAGATAAATTAGATAGAATGTGCATTCATATAAAACACCGAATAATCCTTTTTTCACAATAAGATTTAATCATATCTCGCATTTGTTAAGACTTAAGATATATGTAATCAAAACTTGTGTCTACTGATATCCAGGTAACAAATACAAATTCTCCATTGATATATTCATCTATCACGCCATACATTTCTTTTCGCACGTCTAAAGAGTTATTGCAATATTAATAATCTCCCTGAGAGTTTCTCTCGTATAGTCCAAGAAGAGATCCCAAATTCGACGTCGGCCTTACCCGGCGCCCGCCAAAAATCGACGCCGGGTTGAGGTTATGTCTCTCCTTAGTTCGCAGTGGGATTGGTGTTTTGTATCAACGTGATATTATCTCCCTTCAACATAATGCGACCCAGCGGCTTCCTGTTTTTCGTCTTCTGATGATACTCCTCGGCATCGTCCAATACCAAGTTCATGTACTCATCGAAGCCGACAATGTGTCCCTCGATCCGCAGGTTAACGTTCTCAAACAACCAAACTTGCACGCGTGAGCGATTTTGTAAATAGCGAAATATCAAATTGATGGGTTGCACCATCACCTTTTGAACTTTTTGTGGCCCTTTGTACGACATTTTTGCGTCAATATTTAAAAACTGGGTGACAAACAGCAAGCAATATACTCTGCAAACGTACTCCAAAACGTAAAGCGTGGAACGCCAATAGTCGCTAGTCAGAGAATAAAGGTGGCGATTATGGCGTCGTTCGTTCGCTTTGCCAATAATACCAACGTAACAATGATGCCAACGTAAGAATAATACCAACGTAACAATAATACCAACAGTGCTGCACTACCCTAGTCACTTTCGATTTCACAAAAATCTCGCTACGATATCAGAAAATTTTATTTTTCTACCAAATAATTATGATTAAAATAAAATAATTATTTTGACTGTTTCTGGCATCTACAAAAATATATTATTTCAATGCTAAATAATTATAGCGAGCTATTTTAAATTTTGATACATTGAGAATTGCAAATCATCATGTAACGGTGATGCATCTGTAATTATATAATATTGATTTGCGAAATATTAATTAAAATTCTGACAACGTCGAAAATAAATTAATTTAAGTGAAATTTATCAATTGCAAATCTTGTTGATATCTGTGATATCTTCTATTATCTACCGTTATCTCGGCGTGTCTAAAATGGCATTATTTAAATATCAGTGACTTGTGTGTTCTCATCAGATAGCGCCACGTAATACCAAAATGATTCATGTGTGTGTAACCCCGGATCTACAACAGATTATTAAGCTTTAACTCATTAGGAATGGACGAATCACAATCAATTATTCTCCTTGAATTCAACTAGTAGATGATCAATTTCTTATTAGACTTAAGGCTTAAAACACCTATTGTAAATCCGGACTAAAGGCTTAAACACAATAGGCACAGGCAATAGGCATAGGCAATAGAGAATAACGAGCTCTTCCAATCAGAGTTCTGGTGTGTAAGTTCAATATTATATCCTAGAACTCTGATTGGACGGCTCGTTATTCCCTGTTGCTTGTGCCTATTGTGTTTAGCCTTTAGGGTATATCCACACAAACTTGCATAGCCGCATAAACGTATGCATAAAGAAAATTATCCAATCACATTTTACGTGCGACTTTATAACAGAAATGTGATTGGATAATTTTCTTTATGTATACGTTTATGCGGCTATGCAAGTTTGTGTGGATATACCCTAAAGGCTGCAATTGTAAATTGTATGTAAAATGGCTGCGTTTGTACTTGTTGTGTAAACTGCCAATAAACTGAATTATTTATTTTTCATGGTTACGATTCAAAACTTCCTCTTCTAGGAAGATTTTATTTTATATGCTATAGTATACGTTACGTGTACCTTATATTTCGCGTAAAAATTTTAAGTGGAAAATGTGACCAAGACTGATTGTGTGTGTGTGTGTGTGTGTGTGTGTGTGTGTGTGTGTGTGTGTGTGTGTGTGTGTGTGTGTGTGTGTGTGTGTGTGTGTGTGAGAGAGAGAGGCAGAAGATGTATTTTTATTCTGCTCAGTAACTTTACTTCTTTCTGCGCATGTGCCAAAAGAGGATAGAAGAGGATAGAAATACATCTTCTATCTCTTAGTCTTGCTCACAGCTCGACGTCCGTATTCCACCTCTAGTAGTATAAGCTCTATGAAGTCAATAAACTAATTTATCTATCTATCATATTTCTTCTGCTTTCGATACAAAAAATAAAACTCCTAATTTTGAATCATAGATAGACTATGTTTACACAACACTCTCAATCGGGTTTAATAACATCCATAGTTAGAAACCAATCACAGTCAGTCCATTCTTCAGAAAAACAGCTATGATTGGCCGTAAGAGTATCCGTAATCATAGTTTGAAAGACTTGCAAACGATCTAACTGATGGTTTGCAATTCTCTTATGTATCTACTTATTTAAATCTTTATAAAAAAAGTTTAGATAAACATCGTTGATTATTGTAATTTACGAGAGAAAAAAAGGTATCTTCTAGTTTATTTTATAACTACTCTGTGAATTGTATGTATTTCAGAATTGAATGTCCAACTTTACGCGCGCCCGCTCGGCCGCCATGACAGTTTTGTTGATGTGTTTTGTTCGGAGCAGTCCGAAGACGGAGTGCGAACATTCCGCAATTAGTCGCGAATTTATTACGTTAAGAGTGAATAATAAACACACATTTTCGTTGGAAGTACTGATTAAAACGACGGACAATCGCCGAAGCATGTCAGTTATTGTGAATCTTCGCAATCAACACCATTTCGCCAGTCATATATTCAGCAGTATATATTGTATCGCGATTTGAAATCGTTCCGGTGAGTACAGATTCCGATGCGATTGATACATGAAGATAATTCTTCCTTTGAAAAAAGTCGAATAAAGCTAAATTGATTGATCGAGATCTTGTCTCTCTCTCGATCAAGAAAATGACACAAAAACACTGACAAGATAATATAAAAAATTGTTACGCTTTATATATAATTTATATATTAGATGTTAACTTATTATATAAAAAATTAATTATATAAAGCATTATTTAACTAAATGAACAATAGATTTTCTACATAATATCATTTTCCATACATTACACGTATAATTTAATTAAAACATTTAGTCTACATTATGTTGTGATGAATAGTGCAGGCAATCCTCTGTTTTGTTTACTATTAATTGTTCTACAGATTAGAAGCGTTTAGATTAATAGCGTAATAATATTGTGGTTGTGTTAAATGCAGTAATAATATCATATTCTCTATGAGATATTGCATGAGTTAATTAAAATGCGCGATACAGTAAAGCTTAATGCACAATTGGAAAGCACAGGCAATAGGAACAGGGAATAACAGATTTCCGAAACGGAGAAACCGTGTATTCTGATATACACAATTTCTGACAGTTTAAAATCTATTATTCCATGTTCCTGTTGCTTTTCAATCCTCATTTTATCATACATTTACATCCTGATTTTCATTTATGTCACAGGCTTAATTGGCATTAATCGCGATCATTTTCTACATTATTCATTGTTTTGTAGATTAAAAAAGTTAATTGCATTTATAAATTAATTATAAAAATATCGTATTTTTTACATAATTATTTTCAAAGTTCTATTAAAATTCCATTTTTTAAATATTTAATAAATTTTATATGTGTAATAAATTCTTTTGTTTCAATGGAATCGATGTCGAATCGACAACAATTCAATGTCGATTCCATTGTCATTTTTCACTGGGTATAATTACGCGTATGCAGTACACAGAAAAATTTCTTTTTATTAAATTATATTTTATGATTTTGTTTGAATTAATGATGTGCATTTTAAATTTATATTTTGTATGATTAGATTGGATGCTGCGGATCTGTACTATGCTGTCAAGAATATATAATAAACAGTGAAACATGACAGTCAGCAAGAGGGTATTTTTCATTTATTGAGTGAGTAAAATTATACTACATATTTTCTGCATATACATACACTATGATAATGCAATTAGAAAATGGAAATTACGTATGATACGAAGCATAGGTATTACTTTATCGTATGCAGAATATAAATATACAAATCTTTAGATAAATACCTGGAACTCGTTCTTGTGCCTCCAAAGCAGCAGTTAAAAGTGCACATGCGTTTCCGGGACTTAAAGTAACAGACACGTGTTCCTCACAACTTCTCCAAAGTTCTTCTATACCAAGTTCTTGCGCCAGACCCAACATTTCGAAAATTCCACTATCTTGTAGTATTATCTACAACCAGTTAAAAGCATACATTTATTATTATTATTATTGTTATTTTATATAGAACAGACTTATAAAACTTTGTCACATGTTATTATTTAAAACTTTAAAATATATATTTGACAATGTATACATATATCCAGTTAGAAATAATAATGGAATCGACATCGATTTAATGTCGATTCCATTATCATTTCTGACTGGGTATATATAAACATTAATAACAATAAGGGCTACGAATCAGATTTCATTATATTTAAATTTTTATTTGTGACATCCAAAAATGTGACCGATCTTGGCTTTCTTTATCGTATTTGATGAATTCACATATACGGTCGTGTTTATTATTCTTAATGTGTTTAAATTTTTAAACAGATCATTTTGTTTCGACCTTATTGTTAGGTTATCTTTAGTGTATATGATATAGAAAATTAAACGCAAAAATTAATAGATTCATATAACGGTTGGATACAAATTCCAAAATTATGGTTATGCTAACATGATGGTCGTGTTTCTTCATGTGTTTTATAACAATATAATGCTCTCTCTCTCTCTCTCTCTCTCTCTCTGTTTCTCTCTCTTGTAATTTTCTTGGTTACCATTCATCTATTATATCAGTCGCAATTTATCTATATATTTATTTATATATTTATTTATATATTTATGTTAATAATAAAAATAGTTGAAATTGTTCAGTCAGTCGATAAACTAGTACAAGCACACATTCTGTTATTAAAATTCATATATTAGATCATAGATTATATTAGATTATAGATTATAAAACTAATAGCGAATACATGATCGTTATATTCACAATTTCGCATATACTATATAATCGTTAAGTATTAACAAATATATTTCAGTATACATAATAATTAAAAATTGTGTACATATACATATCAAATAAGAAAACCTAGCAAGAATATTAATCCAATAATTAAAACAGTGAGTCAAATTAATCTTTAAGAAGCAAATGCGATCAGAGTCAAAATATTGAATCTTGTTCAGTTAGAAATCTCTTATGTTATGTGATAATGTGTGAGCTACATTCAGATGCTCTGTAATAGACTGTTGAAAGTGGGGATGAGATTGGAAGAGGAATAAAGATATGAATAGAAACGATGGAAATAAGAAAGAAAGAAAACTAAAAAGCAGAAGGAAGCTGCAAGATCTGTAGATAAGAATTAGGAAATGATCCGTATCATTTTGTTTGTTCAATCCTAATTTCTGTTTTTTTATGTGAACTATTTCAGAGATTAATCTTTTATTGTAAGACGGTCCTTTATCTAAGATTTTTACGTCTTTCCAATTGAAATTATGATTGTAATTGATAAGATGGTCAGTAATCACCGATGGAGAACCAGTTTTTTTCTTAATGTCTGAAATATGTTCATTTAATCTTGTTTTTAATTTTCTTTTGGTTTGTCCTACATAATTAGCTTCACAGTCTTTACAAAAAATTTTGTAGACAACATTGTGATTAGCTAAAGGATCTAGTTTATTCTTTCTTTTAGTTATAAGGCTTTTTAATGTATCGGCTATCAGTACAGGCAATTACAAAAATTCAGTAACCGCTTAGCTCGTAAAGTAGCCCAATCGGCTACAAGTAGCCCAATTTGGCGATACTGCGGCTCGCGCCCCCCCC